TTCTCACCACAAAAAAACAAGTATATGAGGTAATACATATGTTAATTAGCTAAATTTAGCCATTCCCCAATGTATCTACATTTCAAAGCCTTATGTTGTACATGATAAATGCATATAATTTTTGTCAATTAAAAAAATAATTAGTTAAAAAAATTATCTTCCAAAGATCCTGCCAAGAAAATGAAAATATAAGGCACAGGTTGGGAGAAAATATTTGCACAATATATATCTTATTAAAGACTTGTATCCAGAATACATAAAGAACATTTACAACTCAGTAAGAAAACAATAACACAATTTTTCAAATGGACAGAAGATTTTAACAGACACTTCACCAAAGAAGAAATATGGGTGGCAAATAAGCACATAGAAAATCTCAGCATCATTAATGATTACAGAAATGCATATTAAAAGCACAGTGAGATACGACCATATACCTACTAGGATGGCTAAAATTTTTTAAAATAGATAATGCCAAGTAGTAACAGGACTGCAGAATAACTGAAACTCATATATTGCTGGTGGAAATGCATAATAGTACAGCCATTTAAAAAAACAGTTTAGCAATTTCTTACAAAGTTAAACATATACTTACCATAAAACCCAGCAATCCTACTCCTAGGTATTTACCCAAGAGAAATTAAAACATATGTCCACACAAAGATCTGTAAGTGAAATCACAGCAGCTTTATTTGTAACAGCCAAAAATGGACGCCCAAATGTCCACCAGCTGGTGAATAGATAAGTTATGGTTCATCCATACAATGGAATGTTACTTAGTGATAAAAAGGAATGAACTCCTGATACGTGCAACAACATGGATGAATCTCAAATGCATTATGGTAAGAAAAAGAAGCCAAGCTCAAAGGACTACATACAGCATGATTCCATTTGTATGATGCTCTAGTAAAGGCAAAACCAGAGGTACAGAAATCAGATCAGTAGTTGTCAGAGGCTGGGGGTAGAAGAAGAGGACTGACTGCAAAGCAGTACATGGAAACTTTCTGCAGTGATTAAAATATTCTGTCTTTTGACTAGGATGATGGTTATATGACTGTACATTTGTAAAAACTCGTCACATTGTATCTCTAAAATGTGTGAATTTTACTGCATATAAATTATTATACCTTGATTAATCTAAAAGAAAATAATCTCTTTAAACCATTACCAAAACCTCAAAGCTTTTTCTCAGGAAGCTGTTTGGTGTAAAAGGAAAAGCATGGACTTTGGAGTGGGACAGACCAAACTCCAGCTCTGCACTTAGCCAGTATTTAACTGGGCAAGTTTCTTAACCTTTCTGAGTAATCTCAGTAAAGTGGGGATATGAAGAGTACAGATCTATTACTGTGATAATTTAATTAGACAGTACACGACCTGATAATACCTAAGTGATCATTTCCCTCAGCATATCCCATTCATTCCTCAAGCCCTCAGTGGTGATCTCCTTACTAATTTAAGTGCTCAAATAATTTAATAAGAGTATAGTTTAAGAAGCAGGTTGAACAATATAACCTTAAATCATTCAAGGATTAAAGACAGGAGAACAATGAGACAAAGAGCAATAATGTCTACTTTATTTAACAGATTCTAAGGAAGCCATGGTTCCAGTTGCCTGCAGAAGGCTAGATGCCCAGGAATCTAAATGTTTTCATTCAGAAAATAAATGGTTCCTAAGGAGTAGGGATGACAGGAGGATGGTTTTGACCTCCTGAAACAAGGAGTAGACTCTTTCTCACCTATAGATTCCATCCCTGGGATGGAACAGGGGTGATGGTGGAGCAGCTCTCGGCATGCTTAGTCCAGGCTCAGGCACAAACTGGGCTTTAATTTTAAAATTATCTTTTTATGGGTATATGGGGTAAGAGCTAGACATAGAGTCCAGAAAAGGAGAGGTCACTGGGTATGGTATCTACACAAAAAAGCTGGGCCAGCGTTGAACCATTCCCTTAGCTCCAGCCTACACTCCTCAGGCAAACATGTTATTCATCTGATATCACAGAGGTTGAGAACCACCATTTCCAAAGGGAAACGTCACAGACAGAAGACCAGCTGAAAATCCTGGGAAGTAAACAGGCTAAATAAAAACAGTGCATTTAGAATCAACATTCTCAAGACATGAAACTTTGGAAATTTAGATCATGATAAAGATAGTGTTCAAACCAATGGGGGAAAAGGGAAATTAATGACCAAAATAACTTTGAGACAACTGGCTCCTCATTTGCAATGCAAATAAAACTGAATCCCTGCCCTCACTCCTTACACACACAAAAAAATTCTAAGTGCATTAAAGATTCAAATGTAAAACAAAAATTATAAAAGCACTTGAAGAAAACATGGAGACATTCTTTAAATAATTTCAGAGTAAAGAAAACATTTCTAAACATGACACAAAGCCCAAGCTATAAAGCAAAAGACAGATCAATTTGACTACTTGAAAATTGTGTTTTTTTGGACTAAGCAATTACTATAAACAAGAGGCAAACTGCAAACTAAGAAAAAAAATATTTGAAATACATACATAAAAAGGCCTAACCTCTTTAATGTACAAAGAGCCTTTAAAAACTAAAAATAAGGCCAGGCACAGTGGCTCACACCTATAATCCCAGAATTTTAGGAGGCCAAGGTGGGTGGATTGCTGGAGTTCAGGAGTTTGAGACCAGCCTAGGCAACATGGTGAAAACTTGTCTCCACAAAAAAACTAAAAGAAAAAAAATTAGCTGGGTGTGGTGACACACAGCTGCAGTCCTGGCTACTCAGGAGGCTGAGGCGGGAGGATCACTTGAGCTTGGGAGGTGGAAGCTGTAGTGAGCTGGAATCGCTCCACTGCACTCCAGCCTGGGTACAAGAGCAAGATTCTGCCTCAAAAAAATAAAAATAAAAAATAAAAACTATTAATAAAAAACATACATTCTAATAGGAAAAATGAGCAAGACCATGAACAGAGAATTCTCCAAACTAGAAATACAAATGCCAATAATCATATGAAACCAAGATTAATCTCACTCCCAATGAAAGAAATACAAACTAAAACAAGATACCACCTTTTAAAGGATACTTGACACAGAAATGTTTATAATATCAAAAAAAGGAATTACTGTAAAGCCCATCAGTAGAGGACTGTCCATAATATGTGCATAATAGTGCATAAGTACAATTAAACACCATGTACCATTACAATTTAAATGCTGATTTCACCTATACTGATAATATTAAAAGCAGTCTGTACCACATGGCTGCATGTGGGGAAAAACATTTCAATCTGTATAACAATACACTGCATCTATTTGTGAAAAAGTGCATAGAGACATGTCTGAAAGAAAATTTACCAAATAATAGCAGGGTTTTTTTTTACCCTAGGAGACATTTCAAGTGACTTTTACTTTATTTCAAAATTGTACTATCTTTTTAATAATCTACAGTAAGCACATACATCTATAATTAAAGAAGTCTGTTATTTTCATTTTGAAAAATATGAAGAATATGAAGAGTTTCAGTGCAATATTTCAACCAAATGAAACAAAAGGAATTAATCTGCAGTAAGACCAATGTCCAGCCAGACAAAGGCCTTGCCTTGCAGCTGTGCCTTCTTCTAACCTGCACTAGGCAGCATGAGACCGACAGGCAAGTATGCACTCTCAGGTTTACAAAGGTGAAGCCAGGTGCAGGATGGTATGGATTCAGAGAACAGGAGTGGAGAGTGATAAAGACTCAGTTCAAATGCTCGTTCTACCACATTAGCTGTGTTGACCTTGGGCAAGTCAATTAACTTCTCTGAACCTCAGTTTCCTCCTCTATAAAAGTAGGATAATAACTGTCTCTACCTTATAGGGTTGTTGAAAAGATTAAATAAGATACGCAAGTGATACCCTCAGCTTTCAATAAAGGTTAGCTGCTTATATTATTATCTGGGACACTGAGACATTTGTTCACATTGCAACCAATATATTCCCCATGATCCAAGGTCATGGAGCAGAGGGGAAAGAAGGTCCTGCAAACCTCAGAGAATTCCAACACCTGGTCTTGGAAAACAACATGCTTCTCTAGCCACTATGAAACCTTCCTGGAAGAAGCAGGCAGGGAGGAGGGCAGCCAGCTGGAAAGAGGAGGAGGAGGACGAAGCAAGGACCTAAATAATTTCCTGCTGCCTACTGTGTCGTCCATGAAACAACATCACCCACTCCTCTCCACCCACCTTTCCTCCTGGGCTGACTGATTCCTTCCCCCAGACATCAGCATGTGAGACTCCTAGAATGACTACTTTGGCACCAAGTCAGATAAAACTTCAGGAATTGGGTGGAGCATCCTTCATTCTGTAGATAAGGAGCCTGAGGGTCCAAGAGGAAAGAGACTCTCAGGGAACCAAAGCAGCCAGCACACACCATAAACTCTAGATCTCTAGATCTTGGGGTCCCCTCCTATGCCTTCCTTCCCTTTCCCTGACTGCTCCCTCACAAATGCTCATTTCCCCCATTTCCTTCCCCTGCTTTGTGACCTGTCAAACTCCTCAATTTGATAGGGTCTCTTTTCTCGGGACCCCTTTTCTCTTCTCTGGCAGCCCTAATTGTCGTTTATGTCCTTCCCTGAAGTGGGGGAAAGAAACAGACTGGTACTGTTCTGACTCAAAGCCTGGCCTAGAAAGAGGACCAGTATGGCCATCACTAAGTGAAACCAACATAGCCATCCCTTTGCTTCCAACAGAAATAGGACACAAGCCATGGTGTGAAATGAGAAGGCAGGGTGGGAGTGAAGGGGAGCTCTGAGTTATTCTCAAACCTTCCTGATGACACTGGAGGTTACCTTGAAACTCTTAGGAAAGGAAGACCCCAGAAGAGAGAGGTACCAGCAGATTCAAGAGGAACCAGCAGACTCCATCTCCTAGGTTGTAAACGCAACCAAGATGCAGGGCAGCCATGGGTGAGGAAAGACTTGGAGGCAGGAGTGGAAGGGCACTTTCCCAGGGCACAGTCCTGACTCTTGGCGATGATTGGGCTGGGGCTTACCTTGGGAAGGCTGACTGGAGTCCTGGGCTTGGTCCTTGGGTTCTTAATCAACAGCCTCTGATCCAGAGGAAGAAGGTGGTATTTCATGGCCTCAATGAGGAAGTCTTTACAGGTGTTGTTATTCTTTATCAAAGCTTCTTCTTCAACTGTCTAGAGGTAACAATCCACAGGTGATCCTAGAGCAAAGCTCAGCCACATTTCCCAAGCTTTCTCCCTGGGCTCAGTCATTCCTGTACTCCCACACTCATTCATTTCTTCACCACATCATCTCAGACCCAAAGACTTACAACTTACTGCTCAACTCCTGCATCTTAAGAGCACAGTGGGATAAGGGATCAAGCTCTCACATTAGACCAGATCCACTACTTAACATCTCTGATCCTCAGTTTCCTCATCTGTAAAATGGGCATATTAAAGGTATCTACAACCAGTTTTGTTTGTTTTGAGGCTTAAATGAGTTTATGCAAAACAAAAGACAAATAGCCACCCTGAAAGCCTCTAAACACATTTCTCCTGATTTGAATACATTGTAATGTTGAGGGCAAACAGACATCTGAGAGGAGGAGTGAGGTGAAAGAGGAAAGGGTGTGGGAGCCATCAGCCAACCTTTGGAGGCATTAAGCAAATTAAGCTTGCCAAGGAGAAAGATTCATATCTATTGTCTTATGGTGAAGGTCTCAGGGCGGAAAATCCACCAGTGAGGCTCTTTCTAACAGAGTAACAATATCAGAGCAGAAAAATTATCCTGCACAAAGTTCCACCTATTGACCTCACCTAGGACTCCATCTAAGCTGGAGCTGGGGCTTCTTCGCCTCTTATTCCATAGCTCAGGACCTAAGCAGGTACTCAGCAAATGTAAGCCTAAAGGTTTCACTAGCAAGACCAAGCATGAAGCCATTCTGGTGCTCTAACTCTCAACGCTCTACCTTCTGGCCCAGGTCAGATCACTGTGTGGCATATCTGGAATGGGTAGTGTGGTCTTCTGAGGCTGCTTTGTGTTGGGAAAGATCAATTCCATTCAACAGCTAACAGTGATTGAATGTCTCCTAGTTGGGCAGCCCTGTGCTGGTCCCCAGAAAGAAAATGATGAACAAAACAAAATTTCTGACCCAGAAATTTCTGACCCTGCAGAATTCAAGCCCAGTCAGAGAATGAGAAGGGCCTCCCACCTCAATTATCTCAGCCCTCAAGTCAGTGATGCACAAGGCCTGACTGAGCCTCTCCTGGGTCCCCGTCTGTCACTAGGAATGAAAGCACAGCCAGGGCCATCACCTGCTGGGCAGCATTGGAGCTGGAAGGGAAAAAAAGGATTGGTGAGGGAAGCCCTCTATGTACCTCTGAGCACCTCCCTCCCCAGAGACAGTCCCCAGGAACTGTTTCCTTGGAAGGTTTTTTTTTCCCCCTCCCAGTAAGGAACTGAGCCAGCTTGAGATGAATCATAAACTTCTAGGGTCAGTTACAAAAAAAAAAGGGTGTGAGAGGATATCTATCTAAACAAGGTTGGAAGGAAGAGAAATGCATGAGCAGCTATTTCTCTGGAAGAACTTACTCAGCTTGAATTAAAAGTTCTCCTGTAAAGTTAGTGCTTCACAGGTACAGAGTTTCAACTTGAGGGTGATGAAAAAGTTTTCGAAATCTGTATAGTCACGGTTGTACTGCATTGTGAATGTAATTAATGCCTCTAAATTGTATGCTTAAAAATGGTTAAAATAACAGAGTTTATGTTATATATATTTTATCACAATATATTATACATTTAATACAACATTTTTAAATGCTGAGTAAAAGCCTAATAAATGCTAGCTTTTGTGAAAGAAAAAAAAACCTCCCCCAGAAGTCAGACAGTGTTGGTGCAGGTCTGCCCAGGGCTTTCCCTTCTTCCTCCTCCTTCATCACCATCAGCCATCGCAGCAATTATACTCATTTGAAGTTTCCAAGTCAAAAGAATGTTAATGAAACATCCTCTTCCACAGGTGTTCACTCTGGGAGGCCTGATAAAAGGCCTTTCTGAACAAAGGGCAGAGGGCAAGGGAGTCCTACACAATATTTCTCATGCCATTGCCTCTGACCCCCTTTGTTTCCAGATCTAAACTCTGCTTTGGCATAGTAATCCAAGAACATTTCCTAATGGTGATGTTTGTTAAATTTCAGTTGTGGATGGCTGGTGGAGTTTGTGACCAAGGGCCTCTAAGGCCCCTTTAGCTTCCTCTGGAACCCAGGTCCCCAGGCCGCCCACTCTCCCTGTAGAAGCGAGACTATGCTGGAATCCAGATGCCTTCTCCACCTCCGGCCAGCTTCCCACAGGACAGTGGGAGGTTTGACAGACACTGGATGCTCAGGCCAGTTCACTCCCTCTGCTTAGGGGACCTTTTCTACAGGAAGAATATGCTGCCACCAGGTGGCAGTGGTACCACCCAACGCAGCATGGATACTCCATTTAAGAGCTTGCAAGCCTATCCCTCAGCAGCTGAGATGGCTGAGGTACAGCGTTTCAGGGAACATTTCACTGACCCCTCACATCTGCCATCAACAAGTGTCACCAGCAGAGGAGTTTACAAGTGCTCATGAGGATACTGTGTCACCTGCTACTAAGAATCGCAGCAGTGGTCATGAAGACTACAAAGTAAGATCAGTAACATTCACTGAACACTGTGTTACAGACCTTAAGTGGGTTATCTCATTTTATCCCCAAGCAATCCTAGAAAGGCAAGCACCATTTTTACCAGATGAGAAAACTGAGGTTTAAAACACTTAAGGATGTGCCCAGTATTATATGGCTGGGGAGTAACAAGAGCTGGGCTGCTGGGCTGCTAAACTGCCTCTTATCCTTGCATTACACCTTCCCTTCCTTCTAGAGGCTCCTTGGAGACAGCAGAGGGCTAACCTGCTGTCTTGATGTTTTGTTTTGTTTATATATTTTCAGGTTTATTCTCTGCTTCTATTGTGTCTAATGCCATTTACTATATAAAATAATTCATGTAATGGGTAAGCAGAAAAGAGCCTATCAATGGTGGCAGCTAGCTTGGTGAAGAACTACGTACTTCAGAGCCAGACTAACATGGATTTGAACCCTGAGCCTCCCTAAGGCTGGTGACCCCCGATAAATTCCAACCTCCCTAAGTCTCAAGGCCTATATGAGTAAAAAAGGAGTTACAGTCTTTGCTTCTCAGGGTTGTTATAAGGATTAAGTGAGAAAACATAGGGCACCATAAAAGAACCCCACAATTCTTAATTTTTTTTCCTTTCCAGACTAAGTAGAATCACTACGTATATTGTAGGCACCTGGTTTTTACAGTCTTGAATTTGGCTTCAAATTTCCTAAAACTAAGACAAAAAGGGAATACAGAAACATTGTGGACATGACCCTTCTTGCTTCGGCCCTCTACAACAAAGGCAGCTAACTTCCATGGAACGTGTTATGCTGGGCTCCACGCTAAACATCCGACTTGCGTACTCCACTCCTTTAGTGCCCACAGCAACCCTGCGGGGCTCTACTATAAAATCTGTTCTATGGAAGAAAAACTGAGGCTTAAAGAGGTTAAATAAAAATCTAAAACTAATAAGCAGTAGAGCAGAGACTGAAACCTAAGTGTCCTATTTTCAAGCCTATGCTCTTAAACTTTACAACCCCTAACACTTAACCCAGCGGGTTGGTTCCCTCAGCACATACAGAAGATCCACTAAACCTCTCAACTGCTCCGTCCAGTCAGGATTGCCCACTGTTGTTCCTAGAGGCCTGGGTGAACACAGCAGTGCTTGGTTCTTCATACAGTACTCACCTGAACTAGGTAGTCCCTAGGCAAGAGAGGGAGTCGGACATGTTCCATCAGCTTTGCCATGTGCTCTAAGCGGGTTTCTTTCTCATAATTGATCCATGAAATCACAGCTTCAAACACCTATAAAGAAAAGCAACATGAGCAACTTCAGTAAAGAGACAAAAGCTTTCAAATAACCCTCAATCTGTGAAAAAAAAAAAAAAGGAGAAAAAGTTACGAGTCATCCACAAGGGTGTTTAATTAATCTGAGACTCAATAGCTGGCCTCAGAAAGCAATCACACACACACTCTACACACACACACACACACACACACACACACACACACACACACACGGACAAACCTGCTATCCCAAATGTAGAATCATCATGGTTCATTCTAAAATAAAAACCAGTTCCAATAGTTATTTAAGGGTAGAAATACCGAGCAGTAACTGCAAACCAAATTTATAGAGGCTGCCTAGGAAGATGAGACCCTGGGGGCAATGTCGTCATCACCCAGGCCTCCCTTTCCCCACTTATGTCCCAAGTAAAGTTAATGCAGAATAAAAACAGGAAGAACACCCTCTGCCCAAAGCTGGCTGTGATGGTCAATGCGACACTGAATGACAAGGAATGGCAAACATTTCTCCTTGAGGAGAAATTTCATTTGTATGCAAATCGAAACTGGAGGGCTTGGAACCAAAAAGGCAGACCTATACTTTGGATGTTCGCTCTACTCAGGGATAAGTCCAAATTTGAACTCTGTGCCACCAGATACACACAGACAGAGAAAATTCAGTGTTGGTGGGGCCATGGGGAAACCAGCAATGTCTGTTAAAATGTCATTAATATGCTTTTTAAAAGGGGAGGGAAGTATTGGCATTCTCAATCAAAATTTTAAATGTGCATACTCATTGACTTTAAAATACCACTTCTGGAGCTCTAGCCTATACTCACATCAGTGTAAGAGAATAGAATATGCCCTGCAAGATGTTAGCTGCAGCATGGTTGTAACAGGACAAAAAAATAAAACTACCTAAAGTCCACTAATGGGCTTTAGGAGAAATTATTAAAGGAGTATCCATACCATTAGATACAGTTATCCCTCAGTACCCTTGGGGCACTGTTTTGTTTTTTTTGTGTATGTTTTTAAAACAGAGTCTTGCTCTGTCTCCCAGTCTGGAGTGCAATGACACAATACAGGTATTGATCAACTTACAACCTATGAAACTTATGACCATTCGACTTTACGACCACAATCGCGTCTGGCAGCGCAAACGTTGCCCAGCTGGGCGTACGACGGTGTGGACCAGCTTCCGGCAGCACTACCATCTCCGCGTGCACCATTTCAACTGTTATCCCAGACTCGGTACAGCAATTTGTGTTTTGTGTCTTGGATATTTTTCATCAAACCCCTCCCAATAAACTTCTTATACATTTCGAAGCAATGGACCCAAACATCGAATGATTTGCAAGGATTGAACGGATGGCGCACGATGTGTTTTTTCCGTATCATGAAATTTATGAAGAAAAAAAGAAACATACAATTCAGACAAAGCTCACCATGTTTATGAAAAAACCAACTCCGGTAACCCCAACTGCTGCCTCAGATGACGACATCAACGATCCGCAGCCAAGCACCAGCGGCCAATAAAATGTTTCGTACATGTTTATGTATTTTGATATGTTTTGCAATTGGGAAAATGTTTCCTATGGTATTTTTTACACCTGTATTTTGTATTTTTGTATGCACCTGTATTTTGTAATTTTGTATATTTTACAAATATTAAACCAGTTGTACTGGTAATGCAGTGTTTTACTTAAACCTGACGAATGTAAAAATAAGAAACAAAATGGTGTAGAGATGATACAAATGGCATAAAAGAACAAAGAAAATTATGATATATAACAATAATGAAAGAAAATTATGATAAAATATGACTTAAAGATTTTTATAACATCATTTCACAGTACTGTACATATAGCCTACTCAACTTACGACCAAATCGTGTTACGACCGGTCTGTCAGAACCAACCGTGGTCGTAAGTCAAGCACTAGCTGTATCGGCTCACTGCAACCTCCACCTCCCAGGTTCAAGTGATTCTCCTGTCTCAGCCTCCCTAGTAGCTGGGATTACAGGTGTGCGCCACCATGCCTGGCTAATTTTTGTATTTTTAGTAGATACGTGATTTCACCATGTTGGCCAGGCTGTTCTCGATCTCCTGACCTCAGGTGATCGAACTGCCTCGGCCTCCCAAAGTGCTGGGATTACCGGCGTGAGCCACCACACCTGGCCCCAGCGCACAGTTCTACAACCACCCACAGATACCAACATCTGCCAATGCTCAAGTCCCTTATATAAAATGGCATAATATTTGCATATAACCTCCGGACATCCTCCCATATACTTTAAAACATCCTCCCATACACACATGTGTGTGTGTGTGTGTGTGTGTGTGTGTGTGTGTGTATTTAAAGTATATAAATAATATAATTTAAATAATTATAGAAGATTACTTATAATACCTAATATAATGCCCATACATCACTTCATGCAAGTGGATTCAGTGTAGTACTTAGTGTTGCAGCAAACTCAAATTTTGCTTTTTGGAACTTTGTGGAATTTTTTTCTTCTGAATATTTTCTTAGTTGAATCCATGGATATGGAACCCATGGATACAGAGTGCCAACTCTATTTTCAGCTATTAAAAGAATAAAGCAAAACATCTTTTTATACCTGATTAAAGAAGACATCTCAAAAGGACATAGAGCCAGCTGGATGGGGCTTTCAATACCAATATTTGGGACAATTTAAATATCAAAGAGAATAATGAAGAAATCAGATCAGTGCTGCTTTGAGAGGAAGCAGGATCAGGGAATGACTGAAAAAGGTTCAAAGGAAGCTTTTTGTGGTTTAGGGTGTGCATTACATGCGCATATACATTTGTCAAAACTAATCAAATTGTCCATTTAATATCCATATATCTCAATACATGGGGTTACACCTGTAATCCCAGCACTTTGGGAAGCCAAAGTGGAAGTCCAGGAGTTTGAGACCAGCCTGAGGAACTTAACAAGACCCCATCTCTATCAAAAAAAAAAAAAAAAAAATCAGGCATGGTGGCACATGTCAGTAGTCCCAGCTGCTTGAGAGGCTAAGGTGGGAATATAGTCTTAATTTTTTTTTTAATTATAATATGGCCAAGCATGGTGGCTCACATCTATAATCCCAACATTTTGGGAAGCCAAGACAGGCAGATTGCTTGAGCCCAGGAGTTCAAGACCAGCCTGGGCAGCATGGCAAAAACCCTATCTCTACAAAATAAAAAAATCAGCCAGGCATGGTGAGCATGCCTATAGTCCCAGCTACTAGGGAGGCTAAGGGGAGAGGACTGCTTGAGCCTGGGAGGTCAAGGCTACAGTGTGCCATGAGTGTACCACTGCACTCCAACCTGGGTGATGAGGTAAGGCCCTGTCTCAAAAAATAATAATAATAATTTAAAAAATATAATCCATGAACCCATATGGATACTAAAAAAGTAGAAGAAAGTCTCTTCTTTCCTATATGGATACTACAAAAGTGTAAGAAGTTCTCTTCTTTCCAAGGAAAAAAAAATGCCCCATAAAAGGAATAATGGAATTAGAAAAATTCCATTTTTGCAATACCACCAATGTAGTAACTGATTGAGCAAAGATCACCAATAGATGCTAAAATCAAAAGTTGTTAAAGGCCAGGTGCAGTGGCTCACACCTGTAATCCCAGCACTTTGGGAAGCCAGGGTGGGAGCCCAGGAGTTTGAAACCAGCCTGAGAAACTTAGCAAGATCCCATCTGTACAAAAAAAAAAAGAAAATCAGTCAGGCATAGTGGCACATGTCTGTAGTCCCAGCTGCTTGAGGGGCTGAGGCAGGAAGATCACTTGAGCCCTGGAGGTTGAAGCTGCAGTGAGCTGTAACCATGCTACTGCACTCCAGCCTGGGAAGCAAGAGCCCGTCCTTAAAAAAAAAAAAAAAAAAAACAGAATCACACAACAGATTACATATTACTTACATAGAGGGAAAATATCCTCAAATAGAGAGCTCTGATAGACAATACCTTAAACAAGGGACCAAATTTAACACCACCAATAAGAGGACAAACTTATATTCCTGATTGTGATTTAATTGAAAACACATAGTGTCTCCTAAGTACTATTCTTCCTAAAATATTAACATTTAACCTGAATCTTACGGTGAGGAAATAATCAGACAACTCTATGTTTGCCACACTCTACAAGATGGTTTGCCTGAATTTTCAAAACTGCTAATATCATGGAAGACAAAAAAAGGTAGGAAGACAGTTCTAGATTAGGGAGATTTATAGACTAGGCAACTAAATGCAGTGCATAAACCTTAGATTATGGTTGTAAAAGAAATTGCCATAAATGGCTTTTGGGAGGCTATTAAGAAAATGTGAATATCCACTATCTGTTAGATAATATTGCTAGATCAATATTAAATTTCATTGGTATAACTGGATTTATGGCTAGAAAAGAGAACTTCCTTGTTCCTAAGAAATACATGCTATAATATTTAGGGGTAATGTGTCATAATGTCTGCAATGTATTGTCAAATGATTCAGCAAAATGAAAGATTAGAGAGATAAAGTAAATGAAACCAAGTATTAATGGTCAGTCTAGGTAAAGACGACATGAATGTTCATTCTTGCAAACTTATAATAGGTTTTTAATTTTTCAGAATAAGAAGTGGAAGGCAGACGAAAAGAAATTCTAAGGGAAAAAACTACCACAAAATTTACAGGATGGCAGAAAATTGGCATGAAAACTTTACCTGCAAGGGGAAAAAGTATTCTGATTTTTCTTAACCTAAGTGCATTTTTGTGTGTTGATATGTTAATGGTGCTTTGCCCTAAAACACTTGCCACTGTTTCCTAATTATATACTTAAGTCGGGCTGGAAATAACTTGAATTTGGCAAGCAAAGAAAAGAGAGGGGGAAAGGGGAAGGGAAAGGGAAAGGAAGGGAAGGGAGCAGAAAAGGAAAGGAGTAGTACATACGTATAGTTTGCTCCTATTTTTATATAAAATAACCTATTTATGTACAAACATAAGCACATACACCATAGAAATCCTCATCTAGT